CACTAAAACAGACCTTAAAAAGGATTTTGCCATTCATGAAATGTGCATAAAATTTTGCAGGAGAATGTTTTTGGTCTTCAGAAATTTAGCCCATTCAAGGTAAATATTCTTATTTTTATCATTTTTATTTTTGTTTAAAATAGTCTTTAAAATATAGATCTGGAAGTGTTCTTGCAAATGGCTCATCATATAACAATGTGAGCTTTGTTGTTATATGAATTTGGCCTACTTTCACTTTGGACAGACTTTTTGAAAACAAACATGGCTGACAAAGCGGAATCACCTTAATTTTAATAAGATATTTGTGGACGTCTGCTTCCAATTGCTTAATGACAAATACCTAAGCTCTTGGCATTTAGTTTTACAAAAAAGACTTAGATCTTTGTATTTTCCTATATCTACCAACCTTTACAAACAATTTGATTATTTCTCGTCAAAAGAAAAATAAATGAAACTATAAGACTTGGGGCCTAATATAAATAAATATATATTCATGTGTAATAATTTATTTTAATATGAAATTATGTTTAAATATAATTTTTAAACTTACTTTGAAAATTGGGTTAGATACTTTCTAGTGAAAATAATCAAGAAATTGTATTGACTTTCTGTTTGACAAGATTATAAGTAAAAACTGTTGGAAATTTTAATATTTTTACTTCCTCTTTTGGTTTTAAAATGAAAATATGAAGGGAAAATAACTCACTTCCTCTTCCTGTTGTAAATTTTTATTTGATTATTTCCCCTTTTAAAAGAAAAATAAATGAAAATAGATATATATTTTTATATAATAATTTATTTTAATGTGAAATTATGTGTTTAAATATAAATTTTAAACTTACTTTGAAGGTTGGATTTAAAGAAAATAATCAAGAAATTGTATTGAAATTCATATCAGTTTGACAAGATAAGAAGTTGGAAATTTTACTATTTTTACTTCCTCTTTTGGTTTTGAAATGAAAATATGAAGGGGAAATAACTCAATTCCTCTTCCTGTTGTAAAATTTTATTTGATTATTTCCCCTTTTAAAAGAAAAATACGTGAAATTAGTTTTATCTATTTTACCAATAAAGAAATCATTAAGTTAATATCTGCACGTTTATAAAAACCAATAAAGAAATTATTAAGTCAACAAATTTATTAAAGACTATCATGCTCACAGAGATAAATAGGCCTAATTGTACAGTAAACTCCTCTTTAAAAGAGATCACTAATAATAATAAGACTTAGAGGATATGCCACTTAAAATGATGTTGCCCTAATCCTGATTCATGTTTTCAAATTGGTTGCCTCTTGTATATAACAATATAATTTTTGTGGTACCCTGAATATAGTTACAAGGGTAGTTTAGTATATTTTCATTAGAAAACTTAAAGGTATATAAGAATGTTTTTCAGACATAGATAATCTTAAAATTGTGGAAAACACAAAAAATAAAAAAAACTTACTTGTTTAAACAACTGACATAGTCATAATGCTAACTTGGGTGAGAATATTATACATTTTGATATTGATTATAAATTTGAAAGATGGAAATAGGAAAAAAAACGTCTAAGTAATGACGAAATTGTTTTTGTGAAAAATTTTGGTATTATATAAAAACAAACAAGTTCACTTCTATTTCATTTTAAAATGGAAATTTTCAGACATAAACACATTTTCATTTAACAAAATCTTTCAACTGGTATATTAAACAACATTAACGGTCAAAATTAACACACATTCATGCCTTGGTAAAAAGTCAACAGAACTGTAATTTTCTAGGCAACATAAATCAAATAAGATATTTACATGTGATAGAATGTTTCACTGTCGGATTTATAATATCTTTATTTACACAATATTTTAAATGGCAAAATATGAAATAATCTTAAACAAGAGGGCCATGATCGCTCTGGATCACTCACCGGAGATTCATTGCTAAAAAGGTCAAAATTTTAAATTTTCAACGTTAAATAAAGCCAGTACCGGTAATGGGTTTGTCTACTTGTTTGTCTTTTTTACGCTAGCTGCCTAACTTTTAAGATTAATTGTAATTGTAGATGCCTGTCATTGCTGTACATCAAAGGACAAGAAAGTAGGTCACTGTCCCCTTGGACAAGGCATAATTTTGACCTAAGGGTTTAATAACAATCTTGATACAGGTCCACCAAACAACATTTCAAGTCAAATATCTAAGCTATAGCTTTCTCCCATTCAGAAAACATCTGTTTTATTTTCTGTTTTTACTATGTGTACATAATGAGAATCACTGCCCCCGGGCAGGGCCAATTTTTGACATTTGAACAACTTTGGTAGAGGACCTATAGATGATATTATATATCAATAATCAAAGCTCTATGCCTTGAACCTTCAGACAAAAATATTTTTTTTCACTACATGTTCATAATGAAAATCAATGACCCCCGGGGCGGAACCAATTTTGACCCCTGGGCAATAATTTGAACAATCTTGCTAGAGGTTCACTACACAATGTTTCATGCAAAATATCTTAACTCTATCCTTTGTAAATTTAGAGAAGATGATTTTTTAAGTTTTAACTATATACATATAAGATAAACCTATGGCTCCCAAGGGCGGGGCTAATTTTGACACAAGAGGCAAAATTTGAACAACTTTGGTAGAGTACCTTTAGATGATATTATTTAACAAATATTAAAGCTCTAAGCCTTGTACCTTCAGACAATAAGATTTTTTTGATTTTTTACTATATGTATATATTGAAATCAATGACCCCCAGGGTGGGGGCAATTTTGACCCCAGGGCTATAATTTGAACAATCTTGCTAGAGGTTTACAACACAATGTTTCATGCAAAATATCTAACTTCTAGCATTTGTCAATAGCTAGAAGAATTTTTTTTAAGTTTTTACTATATACATATGACCCCTGGGGCGAAGCCGATTTTGACCCCAGGGCTATAATTTGAACAATCTGGGTAGAGGTCTACCAGACAATGCCTTATGCAAAATATCTAAGCTGTAGGCCTTTTGGGTCTTTACAAGAAGGTGTTTCAAGTTTTTACTATATGTACATATAGCGAAAATCAATGACTCCGGGGCGGGCCCGATTTTGACCCAAGGGCTATAATTTGAACAATCTTGGTAAAGGTCTACCAGATGATGCCTTATGCAAAATATCTAAGCTCTAGGCCTTTTGGGTTTTTACAAGAAGGTATTTTAAGTTTTTACTATATGTACATAGTGAAAAGCAATGATCCCCGGGGCCGGGCCAATTTTGACCCCAGGGCTATAATTTGAACAATCTTGTTAGAGGTCTACCAGACAATGCCTTATGCAAAATATCTAAGCTCTAGGCCTTTTGGGTCTTTACAAGAAGATTTTTTAAATTTATTCTTATAATATGGCAACCAGATTTCTGCATCGAATGACATTCCTTGAACAACTTTGGAAGCCCTTCACCCAAGGAACAATCCTGCCAAGTTTGGTTGAAATTGGACTAGTGGTTTTTCACAAGAAGATTTTATATTTTCACTATATAACACGCACTCGCACACGCACACGCACACGCACACACACACACACACACACACAGGTGAATCGCTTTATGCCACCCCATCGCAGATGCTGCGGCAGATGCTGCGGTGGCATAAAAAAGACTTTTTCCTATACAAGCCTATAAAAAACAATTCTGTCCCCCTTGGCATGATGTATAAATAAATTGTGGATAACAAGAGACGACCAATAACATACACACTGCCATCAGGAAAGTTTACCTCTGAGCACTTTGAATCTTCCTGTGCAGGAGGAGATGTTCAAATTCTTTTTTTTATTTACTGAAAGCAGCAATGCTTGCTATCTTTAATTGACAAACTTAAAATATAAAAACAACAAGACTTAACAAATATACTTATTTAGATTTTTAGACAAATGCTTGTAATTATCAATCTCTACTATATATTGAATATAAGCTGTGACCTGATTGTTTTTGCTTCTCCAAACCAGACATCAAGAATACAAAAATCTGGATTGTTCTGTTTGTTCACAATTGCTTTAAGACATTTGATAATCATTTTTTTTTATTCTGTTAAAATTCTGTTAAAACCGATGTTAAACAATACAGTGGTATGTATCAGCCCATCTAACCTTTTTGTTTTGGTCAACAGAATTGGCCTAAAGGCTAATGCAGACTTAATGGCACCAAAATAGTTTCTTGTTATTAAAACGGTAACGTAAATCATAATGCCTATCATGTAATGCAAATAACTATGAAATCATCATTTTTCGTGGGGCTATAATTTTCAGGTATTTGTTGACAGGTCAATCCACGAATTTAAGAGCCAACAAACTTTGTCTCCTATAAGATTCATTTGCATTGCATTATTTGCAGTTTACCCTTGTACACAATTAGACAATCCATGAATTTAAGAACACATGAAAATGTTTTTTGTAATATTACCACGGAATTTCATGTCCACGAAATTTGGTTATTCACAGTAAACAAAACAATAAAGCACCAAAGCATGGTGAACACAAATTGTTTGTAAACAAAGAACATAAAATCCTCACAGTTAAAAACTTAACAATAGTATGGCCTCGCCAATAAAATGTTGGATTTTCTGGGAAAAACTAAAACAACAAACAAACAAAAACAAAACAAATTACTGAAAAAAATAAAATTTTAACATCTGTTTTGCCTTTGTAGTTCGTTAAAACTATCATTTCAAAGTCTATTAGTATCTGTGTAATAATTTATTTTGTGATAGTAACTATTTCACCCAATTTACATGTAATCAATATATCTTAAATGAATACAGTCATGTACAAATGAAAAAAAAAAAACAACACATTTTTATACAAAAATGAATTCAATATCGTATACATGTACAATGTAACAAAAACATTTTCAGCTAAAAATATTGGTACAGATACACAAATAAGAAACCACTGGTAAATTTGGCAAAAAAAAAAATAAATAAATACTGTTGACAAATATACTGTTAAAATATCAAAGACTTATATCTCTGAAAATATATTCACCAATAGATTATAAGTAATAATTGAACATAACATTTAAGACAAAAAGAACGAAATAAGTAATAAAATTCATCTTTGGGCACTACACCGCACTGAAATGACTGTCGAACATATGTTGTTCAAGTTAGTTGTTCATTTGAGATTTATTTTTTTTCCCTTAAGAGAAAGAATAGACAAATGTTCTCCGTTCTTATGTGGAGTAAGCTAAATAATGTCCAGTCTATAAAAGAGAACTCTACTAATGCTGAAAAAGCTCCCTTTCTAATAAATCAAAGGTTTAAAATACTGTAACCCAATTCATTATCATAAATATAGATTTTTACCTTTTGCATATTTATTGTTGCATTTTCTAGATATCAGGAAAGAAAATGCCATTTGGGAATTAAAAGAGTTTATCAAGTAATATTATAGTTACACAATTTATCTTCAAATGATAGGTATTGAATATGCATCAAAATAAGTGGTCGAAAATGTTTTTTTCGGTTACAATAACATGAATTGACCGCCAGTCGTCATCAAAATTGCATAGTTGTGTGTTTTTCTTATGCAACATCTAAAATATCACTGGCATAAAGTTTACTAAGGAATTGGAGACTGTATGAGCCAAGATATAACACTGTCCCAGTATCTTCTATCTCGCTGACAGCAGGTATCACCTTCCCGGTGGAATCGTGGAGTGAACGCGTTATGTGACCGAGGTCATTCAGTTCAACAACAAGACCGTAACTGGGTACCATCTTCATAATAACTTCCTGAGAAAATATCTGAAAGTAGAAGGTGAAATTGAAATGAGTGAAACATAAGTACTGATCATGCCTGTTTACAATGTGAAATCTCATATGAATAAAAACTTCAGCTGAGGATAAACACTGTGAAAATGTCGTTTTTGTTATTTTGATCAGCAACACCATATGATTGAAAGATGTGTTTATATTTATCAGATAAGAGACTGTTGCAAAATTTGATTTAAAGGCACATTACACCTCAAAAACCAATAAAATGTGACTTCTTCAGAAAGAGCAAAGGTGAATTCAACATAGCAATGTATTATTTAATCAAAAAGTTAAAAAAAATTCAGTACTGGAGGTACACAAATATAATATTCTATTTATCATAATATATAATACAAAATAAGAATTGTTTACAGTAAAAATGAACCACTTTTTCATTGATGTGCCTATAGTTTAACGCCCACATTTAGCGCGTCTTTAACTGTGCTGTATGTTTGACTAACATAAATGATGTCATGTTAAATATATGCACGGCTGTGCAATACCATCTTTTCAAAGACACAAAAGTGGTACGAGAATGTGATCAAATACTTTGTTATCAATCCTCTTATCCATGGATTAGTAGCACCTATGTCTATCAAGAGAAACCCTGGTTTACGGACACTTGCCAGACCGACACCCAGTAGCCTCCTGTAGCACTTCTACGAATGTTATCTGGTAAGCCAGGTAAATTATTGTTGAAATCTTCTAATACCCCTTTCCGTGGCCCTTCCAAATAGTACCTAAACAAACATATAATATTCAATGCTACATTTTTATGATTAAAACAGGCAAATTGACATCGAAATCTGTTTTGAAAAAGAAATCATTTGATAGAATTTAAACTTAGGCATAAACATCTATCAGAGTAACAAATTCAAATATGCATTGAAATAATACTGACTCATCTCAAACTTTTATTTTACATCTTAAAACAGATTTCCTCAAAATAACAAAGGTTTAATACATGCTCTCTCTAAGCCACAATGGTTGTCAAAATCACCGACTTATACTTTCGTTACTTCTGCCAAACCATGATACAAAAAAATGGAAATGGTTTAAAATCACTTACAAATGCAACTGCTGACTTCTTGCAAACTTTTGTAAACTATTTTAAAAATCATAGAGATCCTTGACTAAATGAGCATTCAAAAATGTCAATGAATTTGTTTTGTTTTTTATCTTTCTTGCATAATTTCTGTGCTAAATGAAAATGATAAACTTATAAACCAAAAGCATCTCTATAAACCTTTCTATATTATTCAAATAAATTTTCTCAACCCAAGAAAATATAAATAAGTAAAGAATTTACTTGTAGATGGCAGCTTTTGTTGTAGATGCGAGCAGAATAGCAGATTTATCCCTCGTTAATGTGACACCATTAGCAAATGGTATACCAGACACTAGTTCCTTTGTTGTGTTGGTAGTTGGGTTGTAGGAAAATAATCTGAAAATATCAAAATATTACACAATTGGTTTGTCAGTTGATTTGTAGGAAAACGGTCTACAAATATAACAAGAGCTGTCGGTAGGACAGCAACGCTCGACTATTCTTAGTGCTTGATAGTAAAAAAAATGCTTGATACAGTTACCTCCTCCTATTTACAGGTTGGGGTCATGATGGTGAACAAGTGTGCAAAGTTTCAAAGCCATATGTCAATGGACTTTGAAAATATTTGGACTATTACAAAAACTTTAACGTAAATTCTAAGTCGAAAAAGGGGCATAATTCTGTCAAAATGCTTGATAGAGTTACCTCCTCCTGTTTACAGGTTGGGGTCATGATGTTGAACAAGTGTGCAAAGTTTCAAAGCCATATGTCAATGGACTTTGAAAATATTTGAACTATTACAAAAACTTTAACGTAAATTTTAAGTCGAAAAAGGGGCATAATTCTGTCAAAATGCTTGATAGAGTGACCTCCTCCTGTCTACAGGTTGGGGTCATAATGGTGAACAAGTGTGCAAAGTTTCAAAGCCATATGTCGTTGGACTTTGAAAATATTTAAACTATTACAAAAACTTTAACGTAAATTCTAAGTCGAAAAGGGGCATAATTCTGTCAAAATGCTTGATAGAGTTACCTCCTCTTGTCTACAGGTTGGGGTCATGATGGTGAACAAGTGTGCAAAGTTTCAAAGCCATATGTCAATGGACTTTGAAAATATTTGAACTATTACAAAAACTTTAACGTAAATTCTAAGTCGAAAAAGGGGCATAATTCTGTCAAAATGCTTGATAGAGTTACCTCCTCTTGTCTACAGGTTGGGGTCATGATGGTGAACAAGTGTGCAAAGTTTCAAAGCCATATGTCAATGGACTTTGAAAATAATTGAACTATTACAAAAACTTTAACGTAAATTCTAAGTCGAAAAAGGGGCATAATTCTGTCAAAATGCTTGATAGAGTTACCTCCTCCTGTCTACAGGTTGGGGTCATGATGGTGAACAAGTGTGCAAAGTTTCAAAGCCATATGTCTATGGACTTTGAAAATATTTGAACTATTACAAAAACTTTAACATAAGTGGTTACGCTGACGCCGACGCCGACGCTCGGGTGACTGCAATAGCTCTACTTATTCTTATCGAATAGTCGAGCTAAAAATATCAAACTATGTTGTGTTGTCAGATGGATTGTAGAGAAGTAATCTGCAAATATTAAAAGATCAAACTTTATTGTGTTGTCAGTTGGATTTTAGATAAACAATCTACAAATATTAAAATATCAAACTTTGTTGTGTTGTCAGTTGGACTGTAGAGAAACAATCTGCAAATATTAAAAGATCAAACTTTATTGTGTTGTCAGTTGGATTGTAGATAAACAATCTACAAATATTAAAATATCAAACTTTGTTGTGTTGTCAGTTGGACTGTAGAGAAACAATCTGCAAATATTAAAAGATCAAACTTTATTGTGTTGTCAGTTGGATTGTAGATAAACAATCTACAAATATTAAAATATCAAACTTTGTTGTGTTGTCAGTTGACTGTAGAGAAACAATCTGCAAATATTAAAAAGATCAAACTTTATTGTGTTGTCAGTTTGGATTGTAGATAAACAATCTACAAATATTAAAATATCAAACTTTGTTGTGTTGTCAGTTGGACTGTAGAGAAACAATCTGCAAAATATTAAAAGATCAAACTATGTTGTGTTTGTCAGTTTGGATTGTAGATAAACAATCTACAAATATTAAAATAATCAAACTTTGTTGTGTTGTCAGTTGGATTGTAGAGAAACAATCTGCAAATATCAAAAGATCATACTTTGTGGTGTTGTCAGTTGGACTGTAGAGAAACAATCAGCAAATATTAAAAGATCAAACTTTATTGTGTTGTCAGTTGGATTGTAGATAAACAATCTACAAATATTAAAATATCAAACTTTGTTGTGTTGTCAGTTGGACTGTAGAGAAACAATCTGCAAATATTAAAAGATCAAACTTTGTTGTGTTGTCAGTTGGATTGTAGAGAAACAATCTGCAAATATTATAAGATCAAACTTTGTTGTGTTGTAAGTTTGGTAATAGGAAAACAATCTGAAAATATCAAAACATTAAACTTTGTTGTGTTGGCAGTTGCATTGTAGAGAAACAATCTGCAAATATGAAAGATTAAATTACAAACTATATGCAGGTAATATATATTTCTATTTTTAGAAACAGATTTTGCTATTAATGTAACAAATTTTGATGAACAAATGACAAGGTTTTTGGTTTCATAGAACCTAAAATCCATCATATGGTAAGAAGTTTTCTAAGATTGAATAATACAACTCCATACGGAAACAACTTTCAACAGAAAATTCATGTAGAAGCCACAAACAGCATGTAAAATAAATCATACCTAAAAAATCTCTAACTGAGTGAAGAATAGCATTTTTGAGTATATTTCTAAATCATCTTTTGGGCCATCCTTAAAAAAATGTTTGCAGTAACCAGACCCAGAATTTTCAAGATGGGTAGGTAGGTCGATTTTTTTTTTTTTGAACTGTAATCTCAAATAAACATGGAATTTCAAAATGCCGGGCAAAATATGCTTTGATAACCTGGTAACAATTAATAAATTGATAACTGGATTCTAATTTAATAAGAACTACATTTCATTTCTTCTATTAACCTTTAAAAGAACGAAAACAAAGCACAAGGCATAATTTTCTGATTAAAAAAAAATAATTTTTTTATCCAAACCATGAAAAAAAAATTTGAGTAGGGGCAAATTTTGTGAGTCGGTCGCGTTACTGCAAACAAACATTTTTTAAGGATGGCCTTGCATATCTTTTTGTTTTAAGTTCCCCCAGTCGATCTAGAGCGAAATTCAAATTTTATGTTTTTAGATTTTTGATAATCAGTGAGCTCCTTTAATTAATATGAATACAAATATGAATAACCCAGAAGTAAACGAACCTTCCTGTAGATTCACCTTCCAAAATACAATATCTATTGTGTCTACGATCCCATATCGTACTAGAATCCGATACATAAATTGTTCCATCTGGACCAATGTCAAGGTCATTCATAAACTTTGGCAGCCTGCCATTGATTGGTTCAGAAGAAGGCCATAGCACCGTTTTGTCTCCTGAAAATTTTATAACAAAACATTGTAAAACACATTTTGATTACATTCATACATGTATTCCATTAAAATTTTTGGCTTTTTGAAAATTGGTGGAATTCGATCCCTTGGCTGAAAATAGGGGAATTTTGTGTGCTGGTTATGTATATGGCATGTATGTTCTTATTTAGTCATATACTTTAGTAGGTCATATAACAACTTTCAACCTGAACTTTTTGAGGTGCCCTTTTGTGCTTCTCCATTCATCATATCGAGCACACACAAGCATCTGAGTAGAACCGGATAGCTTCCTCACATGACAAAATCCAAAATCCCTTGCCGGACCTGAACTGTCAGTAGTGAGTGGCTTGTGATTTGATGGCAGTAACTGTAATCAGACAGCCTGTCTGACAAACACATCACCTCAGTAAAAGATGGATAGCTGATAAAGTTTAAATAAATAATTCAATGTTCTTTATTATACAAATATTATACATATAAAATATTTCATATCATTTTGTCATTCTGATTACACAGAATTCTATTCTAACAATGGCCATACTTGAGTACTTATGTGGGTTTTTTTCCCCAATTTGTAGACAGATAATGTAAATAAATCGGTTCCCAATCACAAAAATGAATATTTTTTGCCACTCATGATTTTTCCTTCAAATTTTTTGTATCTAAATGTCCTGATTCAGGTGGTCCTGGAGCCCAAAATACTGAAGGACCCCACTGCACTTCTTAGATTAGACACAGCATATGTTTCAAAACAATTGTCTGAAGTAAATCATTTCAAGTGATAAGACTGTACGCGAGCTCTTTTTCTGGATAATATTTTTAAACATTCTATTTTGGAACTTCGATACTTATCCTTAGACTAGTATGAACATTGCAGTCTCATTTTCTCCCATAAAAACATGTAAGTTAATTTATGACTTAAAGGCCCAACTGGACTATAAAAGCCAGCAGATGGCGCTAGGGCAGGTTTCTTATTAATTTTATGCATACTTAACTTCAGGGACCCTTTTTCAAAGATTTAAGATTAATTACCAAATGCATTAAAACAACACTTGGCATGTTTGTAGGCAAAGATATTTTTGATAAAGATTGACCAAAATTATTCAAAATATAACTTTGTTGAGTGTATTTCTGGAAAAAAATACTGGCTGTCAAATTTGAAATTTGAATTTCCCTGGGAGGAGCCATGTGATCATTACAGGTCATGAACCTTCAGTAGTAAACAGAAGCACGTGGCAGACAGACGATGTATATTTCAGGGAGGGTGATTTTCAGCAGACAACACATTGGAATGCTGAATAAAACCCACATAACTTTTACTGACTTGCTTTATCAAATCCAACAAATTTACAATAATCCCTTTTTAATCTAATGATTTTTTTAAATTTCAAAGTACTTATTTCACTTGTATTTGAATGGTTTAACTTCATGAAAACAGTAAAAAAAATATTTCATTTACACTATAATTTTGTAGTCAAAACATTACATTTCACAAATGTTAATCAAACTAAATGTTGGATATGCATAAAAATTGTATACATTAAACAGTTTTAAAAAATATTTTAAATTCCTGTCAAGAACATTTTAGCAGGTTGTTCCTAAAAAAAATGCCCCATGTAAGGCACATCTTTTGGATTTTGATATAATTGTCTGACTTGATGAAGGAAACATACAGCATTCCAGTGAAAAAAGAAAAACAACTGACTTCAAAAAATAATATCTGGACAAGATGACTTGATAAGTCTTTAATTAATCTTGAGTTATATAAAACATCCCATAAAACCTCTCCTATGTAAAATCAGCTGTTTTTGTTTACATTCTCTCTGCAGGTTAACACTGCATGCTATTTATAGTTCAGGGTTTATAACAGACAGTTTTACATCACTGATTAGTCACACCCACAAATACTCGCTGCCGCGGCAGCGAATGTTGCCCCTTTAAAGTAGCATGCCTCCAGATCTAGATTCATGGTAATTTTCTTGAAGTTTTTGAAAATGTATTCAAAAGTAAAATATTGTGAAATGAACAAAGAAGGTAATTTACAGATTGTAAACAGAACTTATAAATTACCAAAAAGAGGTCAAAGTATGCAAAGAAAGCCCTTACTGCTTTAGTCACGCTCTAGAAATGTAGTTATATATACTGCAAAATCAATCATTAATTGCACATTACATGTACATTATTACTTGAATCTTTTTACTTTTCTTAAAATCTTAGTACATTTTTATCAAGGCTCAAGTTTGATTTTCTTGAAATATTCTGGCTCATCAGGAGGCATGCAGCTTTAAAATGATTACCTGTTGCCACATTGACCTTAAAAAGTCCAAGATAAGCATCAGCTACTATAAGATAGCCATCTTTGTCTTTCCTCATACCCAGTGGACGTCCACATGTAGGTTCATCTTCAAATCTACCTGACAAAATCAACATCTACATTAAATTTTATTTGTTCTACAGAATTTTTAATTCCTTTTACTTTAGTGCATTGACAATGCTTACATATGCAGTATATAAAACACAACTCATAATTCAATGAATTATCATAACACTTATTACAGTCTGTTTTAAATATATGTTTGTAGTTCCCTTTCTTTTTGATTGGGTTTTATGTCACACCAACAAAATATAGATCATATGGTGACTTTCAAACTAGACTAGAGGAACACCTCAGGTGCCCTTTCTGCATTATTTCAGGTACAAACATGCACCTGAGTAGAACTACCAATGTTCCATAAGCTAGTTGGATAGCTTCTTCAGAAGAAGAATCCAAAGTCCCTGTCAGGATTCGAACCCACAGGGAAAGGGGCAAGTGGTTTAAAGATAATCACTTTAACCACTTGGCAACAGATGCCCCTTCTATGTTATACTGTTTACAATCTAACTCATTCCAATAATTTCATTCAGATATTAACATGAGTAAATTCCGTTAATACCATATAAGTTCAAAATGATATAATCTCCAAGGTTTTACAGCATTTCAACAGATTGGCAATACAGGTCACCTGTTGAAATGCTGTTAAAATCAATTGCATTTTCAGCCTGTATATTAAAATATCATCCATGAGCCTTGGCCAAATTGGTTGTTTCTTTTTGGGCATCTGTTGCCTCGGATAAAAAATGAAAACCCTGAATCGCGTAGATTAACAAACTTACCACAAGGTTCTTGTCCAAGCTGTGTTAGTACTCGTAATTCACCTCTATAGATCTCCATAATTTTTCCATCAGCTGTCCCAGTATATAAATACTCTGTAAATAGTGAAAAAATTCTCAGAAATTTGAAATACTGGGAATTCACTTATATTCGTGTGCATGAAATTCGTGGTTTTATCAAAACGGGCATTTTCGTGGATTCTTAAATTCGTGGATTTTCAATTTCTTGTAAAAAAATAAAATAAATAACCTAAAGCAAACGCCAAAGTAATCTTACACTTAATCGCCGCGCATTTTACTTACCACATGTACATATCTTTACGTATCACACAGCGCTTGTCAATAAATTCAATCCTTGCCTCTGGGCATTCATTACATAAAAATCGGCGGAAAAGCGCCGATACATGTTTGTAATAAAATGTATATAGCATAGAGACATGGTGAAAAGTATTTGTTGGGATAAAATTCGTTAGATCTTAAATTCGCAGATTGACCTACCCACGAAAACCAACAAAATTTGTGTCCCACGAATAATAATGAGTTACAGTATAACAGTTTTCAAGAGATTTGTTGTCAATTACTGTCAAGGTAAAAGTTTTGAGAGTAACAGATAAATAAACAAATGCCCCATTAACAATATGCATCTCCAATCTTTTGATCAATGGGGGATAATAACTATTAATATATTACCACCATCTGCAACTATAGATTCAGGCCCTTTTATCTTATTGTTGAACAACTTCTTGGCTTTCTGCAAATGTTTATTAGGTCTCAATGCATCTGTCCAGTCGGGTCTGTGTGGTAACCTGTAAATAAATTTGAGCCGCGTCACGACAAAACTTACATAATGGGTTTGCGACCAGCATGGATCCGGACCAGCCTGCACATCCGCGCAGTCTGATCAAGATCCATGCTGTTCGCTTACAAACCCTATAACAAGTAGAGAAACTGATAGCGAACAGCATGGATCCTGATCAGACTGCGCAGATGCGCAGGCTGGTCTGGATCCATGCTGGTCGCAAACCCATTATGTTGTATTTGTCGTGACGCAGCTCATTTATAGTATCAACAAGTTTGCCCAGATTATAAATGTACAGGATGGCCTAGTTATGCACTGGTCTTAAAGACAAGGCGTCATCACCACAAGCATTCAAAGGCTTAGAACAATATATTGCAAGTGTTATTTTTTCTTTTATAGCATGCGTCTGTTTAATAGTTTTACATCTGCTTCTCTTTAGGAAAATTCTTAGGAATCACTAGGTATTTTAAGTTAAGAATCTGGCCAAAAAATGTGTATTTCCTTTGTATATTTTTTATTACAAAAAAGTCATTTTTATATAAAAGGCAATTATTCAATTACAATATATCTAATATAGAGGACCCACAGTGTTTACTACACAACTATGGCAGTTTTAAAAAGAATAGTTTGTAATTCTAATTTCATAAAGTACTATTAAAAACTGAATGTGGCAGAAATTAAAATTTAAAAAACTTGATGTCCCTTTAACTATAACACACAATGGGTGGTTATTGGGTCAAGGTCACTAAAAGAAAGTTTAACGACATACCTGTAGTATTCTGGCTTGATTGGTGTAGGAATGAGCATCAAAAGAAGTGGTATTACACAAAATGTGAGAAATGTACTGGTCATAGCTGCTTTAAACCATCTGCAACAAAATAAATCATAAGCAAATAAACTGTTAGTTTAGCATGAAGGTAAATTTTACCGAGATTCATAAAAAATTGTAATAGTTTTAATCATTTATGTTGAATCTGTTTATTCATAACATTTTAGCACCTTAATTCAAAATCTCAGGTAAAAAAGTTACTTATTACAAATTCATGTTTGCTTAAAGCTGCATCCCTCTAAATATACATGTAAATGCTAATTTTCATGAAATTTTAAAAAAAGTATTAAATTATCAAGTGAACAAAGACAGTAATAAGACAGTTATCTACAAATTGCAAATGGCATGCTTATAATTCAAGTGATGGACAGTCTTTTACCCCTTCTATAGCAAGGGACTGATGACATGTGTCTTCCCCTCATAATATTTTTTTAATCTTGCAGTTTACCCCTAAAATTTCATTTGTATCAAGTATTTTCTCCCCCTTTTGCAAAAATAATGTGTGATTTTTTCCAAACACCCAAACGGAAGGGAAGGGCCCCTTCGACTTCCTACAACAAATAAAAAGGCTGTCAAAATATAGCATCATATTCATACCCTACAGATCTATGCACTTTTTTTGTTTCCACCTCTTCTTTTTCTTCTACTTGAGGCGGCTTCCTCCTTCGAACACCTTCTCTACCCTCCATTATCTGAACTGTAATACATGGATAATGTTCACAGTAATTTACATGTATCTAATCATTTCCATTAATTTACAATGTATTTATATGAATAACATGTCATAGGTGGCACTTAACTTGCTGTAAGATAAATTATGAGGCAAAATGAGTTTTCAAACCCTCAGTTATCACACTGAGCATCACAAGATAGAATTGACAACTGAAAATATTTTTTGAGTCACACAATTTTTTTTTCAACTTGATTTGCACTTCATAACCCAATGAAATCAACCCTATAAATATCACCTCCTTTTTTTAGGGGCGGATTGTCACTAATAAGAGTGCACCAGTCCTTCTCATACAAAAAAAAACAGAGAAAAAAACTAAGGTTTTGTGATTTCTTTACTTTTGAAAGCACACATCTGAATCTTCACACAATTATTTATGTACTGGACCTACATGTATGATGCTTTCCACTATTTCTTATCTGTGACAAAGAAACTCAACACACCCTCACCACTCTCTGGGTCTGCCATCATAAAATAGCCTATTTTAAAGTGTACTTATTTGCTTAAGGAATACTAGGGCAAAATGCACAATGCATTATTTTTATTATTAATGTAAAATGGAGAATTTTGGAAAGTGTTTATAGTGTGAAGTTAATGGTGCAAGTAGAAGGATCTTGCTGGTTACAGACTTGAGTAGAGTCATTATTGTACTTTACAATGTAAAGAAGTATTTTTAGATACAATGTAGATTAATCCAACTTGCAATATAGACACCAAGACAGACAGATCAACTACTACATGCCTCTATTATGAGGCATTAACAAAAAAGCTGACAGTGCCAGATATTTACAGTGTCTGACAGTCAGCCTGTCTGTAAATCTCCAGATTCATCGAAAATATTTGGTATAAGCATAGCCCATTTTACAGACTTTTTTTTCTTACTGTCAAACTGCTTTGGAAAAAGACAGCGCCGTCCAAAATTACCTCGGTGTCTCTTTGACAAGTCTAATTAGTTGGACTAGTATAAGCAATACAAAGTTACATTCTTTAGTAGAAACAGATGCTGGATATAAATTTTGGCTTTGGTTATGTAAAAGGGTCATCTTACTGTATTCAACACTTTTGTTGGCCAGGAAATAAAGCTTTATGCCAGTGATACCTTTCATATAAAAAAAACTTCCGTCTTAACTAAGCAATGTCTCTTTTAGGTACGTAATACCAGCATATTTCATTTTTCATGATTCATTATTCTTACGACAATGCTAAGTCTAAATGTAAACAGAAACTAAGGACAAGAAAAGTAAGTTAACATCATTGTCAGCTTGATATTTACAATGAATTTACACGAAATTTTATATATTTTTCAATTTTATAAGAGAATCTTCAATATCTTTCTCCACATTTGCATGCAAACTTGATTAAACTTGTTTGAAAATTACTTCAGACTTACCCAATTTTTTCACCGTTTATTTGTCAGAATGACACGTACATGATTTTAACATTTTATGTAGGATCTAGACCACTATTTTTCAGTAAGTTTAAAGGGACTCCACTGTGGTTTTTTGACATGATGGGGACTAAAAATATTTTTTTCCAGATAAATGTACCGTTTGATGTAATTTTATAGACATGATCAAGTGTACATATAAAAGGGTTATGCCAAAAGTTCTAACAACATTATCGTGGGCCCTTCCCTGATATCCATCTTTCAATATGTACAAACCCATTTATCATTTTTAGGGACTTAGCAATGAAAATAAATGTACGTGGCTCTTTATTGGTGCTGGGACCTAAAATATACATAACTATGATATTATAATATATTTTTTTTGTCCCAGATTGGTGATATAATTATGCAGCAGCAATTCAGTCTTTTTCCTCTTTTTTTCAAATAATGACAGAATTTGAAATAAAATACGTACCCTCGCAAAAAAAGGTTTTAGAATGCACATGTTATGGATTTGAATCTGCAATAAAAAGAATATAATGTTTGTGAAATTATTGTCTTTGTACATACATGTATCTCTACATATTAAAGTTACATATTAAAGTGTATAAGTCTAAATATATCATTTAGTTCAGAAATTTCTGTTAGAAAAAAAAAACTCCTATGAACGGTATATGTTTTTATAATCCCTTAAGAGGGACCTTCGGCAGAACGAAAGCATTTTAATTATAACAGATAAAACCCTATTGATATAGCAGCATAAAATCCTTTTTTTGTTATGTTTACTTACAATATTTATGCATGTTATATAATAGAGACATTCTACGTCACAACTCTTTCCAGAATCGACCACAAGATTATAGAGACAGCACAAATTTACCGTTATATATTTCATTTGATATAGCTTTATACATTTCTAGATCTTTAGACTTACGATATTTCCATAGAAACGGAAGTAGTATTTGCGCGTGCGTATTTTGCTGTTAAAAGGTCTATCCTATTTTTCTATGATTAAAATATTGTTTGTGTATTTTTTTTATAAAATAGCTTTTGCACAATTTCGCGAACTTCAGGACAGTCCTCGTGCTTACGATATAACACACTTTTTTAAGATGCACGGACACTCCTGTGTTTTAAAAATGAGCTTCTCTGACCACCATCAGCTGGTTATTTTTGCGTCAAAAGATACCCAGATTTCTTTCGCACCACATGTGTTTACACATATGAATATTTACATAACAGCATAATGTTAATGCAACAATAAATCTGAGTAAACAATATGTAAATACACATAAAGCTTAATAATAAATAACAGCACAACTAATTTATGTATTTAAACAATGTCTTGTCTAATCTTGTTGAGATATTAAACATACATGATGCTATAAGCTTACAGTGCTATTTATAGCCCTGATCGATACCCGACGCTATGGTAAACACTAAACAGAACGCGCAATTCATGTAAAAAATCAATTACATATTATTGAATAAAGTACTAAATAACAATAGCTGTATATTGAAAGATATACTTAACCGATCAATAAGCCGGTATAACAAACATTAGTTTAAAAGCAAGTTAAACTTTCAAGCAGATTTAATTTTAAACACTTTCGTGAATAAAACATGGCTTCAGGAATTGGAAGTTTTGACGGTAACTTTTGTGATTTAAATATGTTTTGTGATAAGCATTCATCGAAGACTGTGGATATTTTATGCCGTGACCATGACCTTGTGATTTGTTCAATCTGCGCTTCTGAAAAGCACATGTAAGTAATGTTGAATGTACTACATATACTACTAATTTAATGCTATTTTCGTGTAAAGATTCTATATTGTAAACTGGTTTATTTTAATTTTAGGTTTAAAGAAAAATATTGACGTATAGAGAACTGGTATTACTTATAATGAATGCATAAATTCCTTTAATGTTTATCTCTTCCGGTTATTACTTAACTTTCCCACATTGTGGCTGATGGGGTGCCTATAAGAATTGAGGCCACCGTTTATCCTTGCGTGATCGTAAGAGGTGATGAAATTGGTTCGAATTACTGGAGTCTATGTATCTCTTAGCTCCATCAGGTGAGGTGGTTTTGACTCCTGGTGTTGCTTTAAGTTTGTAACACCCGACGTTAGCCAAAATTATCTTACCTGTTTAGGCGCCTTAAAACCTAAATTGTGTTGGTGCTCCGTAAAAAGTAAAGGCACCAGAATGTTAATCGAAAGTTAACCGGATAGGTTTCGGACAGATCGTAAATTCTACCCAGTATCTCTTTGCGGATGAAATACAATGTAATGTGTGGAATGGGCATGTGTTGCCCTCCCTTACCATTGAGCCCGGAAGTCGCCATATTTCTTTATATCAATGACGGTCTGGTCTATAACTCCAAGAATGTACTTCTTGCCTTGATTTATATTTTGCTCTCTTTTTAAAAGTGTTGCATATCAACTTTGATATTCAATTAATATTTAAATAGTCTTATACCAGTCTGCTGATTATAACACGATTATTTCTTTTGCAGAACGTGTGTTCGGCTCGAACCTCTTACTAAGGAATCGATTAATGGTATGAAAAAGAAGGATTTTAAACACTTTGGAAAGGATGTATCAGAAATGAAACGGTTATTGTCCAACTTGAAGAGTAAGAAACTTGAAGATAAGAAAAAACTACAAGAGGAAACGGAAGTTGCTGTAAAGGAGGTCCAAGAGTTTCGGAAGTTGATTGACTGGGTTCTAGATAGAATGGAACGGAAGGGCAAAGAGTATATTGAAAAAAGATACAAGGAGCTAAACAAAGTAATAACTGAAGAAATAGCACAATGCGAAGAGATGTTGACATTTTTGGAGAAAACAAAACGTCACTATAAGTCTACCAAAGACCATTCAACTGTTGATCAGTTTGTAAATATGAAAAAGGGTAAACAAATGATGGAACAAGCACTGCATCTTTCTGATTCGATGAAAAATCACAAACACAGAGAAATTGTAAAATTTACCGTGGATCCAAAGGTAGAGAATTTTGCAAGGAACTTGTCATGGTTTGGAAAAGACAGGACATACCTCTCATTTGAACAGCCTTTGTCTTTTCCACATTTGTATGAAATTAAGCAACATAATCAGTTTGATATCCGGGTGAAAGGGGACAAGCAGGTTTGTTGTGTTGTTGACATGTGTCAACTTAAAGACGGGACTATTCTTGCAGTGGATAAATCTAACCGCCGATTGAAGCAGCTAGATGTTTTATACCAGATCGTAGACTCACGTGACCTACCTGATGACCCGGATACAGTCGCTTGTGTAAATGAAAATTTCGCTCTCGTAGCCTCTAAGTATGGGGTTGACACGTTGATTCAGTTCATACAAATAAAGGAAAGTCTTCCTCTTGGAGATTCCTTTACTGTTTCAGGTCATTGTCAAGGCCTGTCATGCTCACAAGATGCCGTGCATGTGTCTACAGGTGACAAAATTTCCAAATTTACATTATCTGGCGAACTTTTACAAGAATTTATTGCAGGTGATGTTGTTCAAAGCTTTTGTTTGACCCATGATTTCGAGAAAATTGTTTTCACATTTGGTCAAGACAAACTAGGCGTTTTGAACAAAAATTACCAGCTGTGTGCAGAGGTTCAAATTCAGGATTTGGGTCAGAACAAATCATTAGCAGTGGATACAAATGGTCAGATATTGATATCAATGTTAGATTCACATCGTATAGTACAATACAATCATGATTTACAGAAGCTTGGTGAAGTTGTGGGACCATCTGATGGTATCAGAAATCCACAGGCGATAGTGTTTGACCGGATCAATAACAGACTAGTTGTGGCTATGAAGTATAAAAACATGATCAAAGCTTTTGACTTGAAATAAATTTGTAACGTTAAAATGTTCTTAGTTTATTGTATCATAAGAGGAAAAAAAGGCTTATCTTCATTCACTTGAAAGTGTTCACTATTTAGGGGGAAAGTATGTAAGCGGCCAAATAGCTAAGTCGGTAGAGCCGCGGAACGGTATCCTAAGGGTCCCAGGTTCAAGTACCGTTCAGGCTGCACATTTTTCTCACCTTGTGACAATTATGCTATCATGAACTAGAAAAAAACTGTTAACTTAAAAATCATTTTGAATATACTTTTTATCAAGTCATTTATGTTTCGAATTAATTGTATGACATAATAAATACATTTATAGTGCCTTTATAGTGTTTGAATTACTTTAGGTTTTATAACAGCTTCAAAGCTGCATGCCTCCGGATGAGCCAAAATCCAACTTGAGCAAAAAATGTACCTAGGTTTTAAGAAAAGTAAAATGATTCAAGTTATGATTTACATGTTCGATTAAGGATTGTCTTTGCAGTTTTTATCACAATATTTCTAATGCAGTGACTAATGAAATAAAGATTTTTTTTTGGGGGGGGGGGGGGGGGGGTGAAATTACGCGGACAGTAATACTAAGTACTTTCTTTGTTCTTTTCACGATATATTCCTACAAATACATTTGACAATTTGCATGAATCTGGAGGCATGCTGCTTTAAAATGTCGTGATTTTCCGGTCCAAGTCATTGTATTCTTATATATTGTTAATTTGATGATTTAATCAATGTTCTTCAAAATATCACACTATGAGTTAATCCCATTGTGCAGACTATCAAACGTGTTACAGAGTCCAAGATCAGAACAAGTCTTTTCATTGCTTGTTGCACGAATAAACCGTACTTGAATGCGCGCAATAATTTTCAAAATACCCATGTGTCTGTTCACGTGAACAATGAAATATTGGCTTATCAAATAACTGATTACTTTTCTTCACCATATAACCAATATATATACACATATATCTTCAAATCCCGACAGGGACTTTGGATTCTTTCATGTGAGGAAGCTATCCAGCTAGCTTACGGAACGTCGGTGGTTCAGCTCAGGTACCCGTTCGTGCCTGAATAATTCACGGAAGGGCACCGGAGGTCTTCCTCCACCAGTAAAGCTGGAACGTCGCCGTATGACCTATACTGTGTCGGTGTGACATAAAACCCAATCAAACAAACGTACATCTTCACATACATGTAGCATAATATAAATATGATATAAATTATATCAAATGTGAGGAAGCCTTCCATCAGTAAAGCTGGACAGTCGCCCTTTTTATGTTCATATCATTATCTAAGTGACTTTTAACCAAATCTAAAATTTGAGCTTTTGAAATATTAAGATTGCCACTGTCACCATCCTTTTTTGATACAATTGCTTGTTTGAAAGGTAACATTTCGTTGATTTTTGTACATTTCGTCACACAAACTAAGTAATTTAATCAAAACAAAATATCATCTCATTCGTTTGACTGGCTGGCTTTGCTTAGATTGTTTTAACAAATCAGTGCTGACCATTTGATACCCAGTTTGTTGAGTCAGTTTATATACGTTACTGGAAAGTGAAAGTAACTGTTAACCCCCCCCCCCCCCCTTGCGCCGGCTTAAGAAGAATTCAACATTAAAACATGAAAAATGGTGAAAATTCGAATTTATAAAATCGCATGTGTTCATTTTTTGACTTACTCCACGAATTACTTACGTACAAAAGATGTCCTTATCCGAACCAATATAATTAAAATCACAAACACTACTTACATATTTTTCATACCAAAGCGAAACAAGAAGATTAAAATTTAATGTTTGATATATCTGAGATTCCGGCTTTCACCATCCACACGTGTGCGTATAGTCCGTATGCTGGTTGCAGTTATATGACGCGACTAAAAGAGCTATGGGTAGGTACTCCAGAAATTTTGGTTAGCATGAATGAAAAAAAGAAAAGAAGAAAGAACAACAACTATTTTCAATTAATACGCGCAACCAAAGTACTTTACTCAGTTTCAGATTAAAATCTTGTAACGGACAATCTTACTAAAAGCAGGAATGCATGTTTTTATTTCTAGAATGGATGATATAAAAGATGTTCAACTGGTTGATTGTGACAAATCTATGTACATTAAACCAATTCGTGTGCTATATACACAGGTAATTATATTCGTTTTAAAGGTTTTACATTTATTAATTGTTTGATAAACTTTTTAATTTTTGTCCTTCTAAAACTTTACACAGACCAGTTCCTTCTAGAACTTTACAATAGAAGTTTATTTTCTGAGCTACAGCGTTCAGGTCAAAAGCCTAGAAACATAAAATTTGGAATTCTTGAAGCACTTTAATGGAATAATCTGCAAGGGAAAATAAAGAAATATACTCAGAATTAAATTGAATTTTTTTGGAGTGAAAGCATTGCAACGGAACAAAAATGAGATTATTCTGGTAAACATTTTTTTCTAAAAAAATTTTAGAGTATTCTGGTAAACATTTTTTTTTTTATTTTTATCATTATTTTTTTTTTGCTCTTGCTTCGTATGGTTCTTCAGCATTTGAATACTTCAACAAGTTACTAGCGATTTTGTTAATTTCCATGTAAACATGAAGTAGATCTACCCTCTTTCCTTTTTAGAATGGAAAGAAGAAGGCGTGGGATGCTATGAAAGTTCATGATAGGTAAGCGTCAGTATATTTTCATCTTGCTAGACAATTTGTACATTTCGTTAGAACTGTTTACGTAACTGTTTATACTGTACTGAGCAAATATCAAATATCATTTTCAAGAGCTATATACTCGTTTATGATATCATTAAAATGTAATTAAAAACGCTTCTATGAATTTGCCTTAGCTTAGAAATTTTATATATGATGTCACTGCCGATGCTCAAATAGTTATGTTTGTGCAAGCGAAATTATTTGCATTGTTGATATTTGCGTATGGATGGTAAACAAATAAAACCCAAGTCATTGCGTAAAATATGGGATCTTCTACGGTTATAGCATATGTTTGAATATAGTTGTCTGTTAGTTTTTTCTGGAATATAGTTTTCTCTTTTTTTCCCACAAAGTTACAATACCAAGTACTTGGTAAAGATCTCGATTCATTGAAGATTGAAATTGTTTGAGCACATATTTTGTGTATGTCGTTGTTTAAACCTAAGACTATTGGCGGCTAAAGAATCGTCCCGAGCGACCAGTACAGACAAACAATAGCCGCACGACCGTGTCGTCTGACCATGGCCAGCTTTTTGCTTAGTGCATATATATTTTTAATTTTCCCCTAAAAATAATGAATGGTCTCGTCCAGATTGAAAGATGGACTAGTGTTGATTAACATTTTATTGATTGTATCTTTCTCTTCAGTGTAACAATACTGATCTTCAACTCTAGCAGGAATGTGTTTGTCATGGTTAGACAGTTTAGACCAGGTAAGTGTTATTTTTGAAATATTGAATATATTTGTCTTTTAATTTCTTGACGTCACAAAACAGTGCTCGACTTCCGGGGCGAAGACCCGGCGACACAAACGTGTCTTCGTGTTTTGAGGGGCGAAGACACGAAATGGCAGAAATCAGCCACCATAGGGTACCAGATATTCATCCAAATATATTTCTGTATCATACAAATACCATTACACTTCTTTTTATTTACTTCTCTATAATCATAATTATATATCAAGTATTACAGTTTTATCTCCCTTCACTTAATACATTAATATGTAAATTGACCCGCTCTTCTTTTTTATGAAAAAGAAATTGAAAGTCGCACATGAATGTTTTAATTAAGTGATTGTTTTGAATTAATGTTTTGAAGAATTAAGATATCAGCAAATATAGCCATGTATGCATTAAAACCCAAAAGCTATTACTGGCGAATAATACTAATAATAGTCTATATGTGGCGTTTCAAAACCTGCACTCTCTTTTGATATCCTTATTTTTGTTTCTTTTAGAGGAAAATTTACGAAGATAATTCTAGTTATTTTGCACACATGGATATTATAATAAAAGTTTTCCTCACAAAAAAATTTAATACATGTACTATTTTAAAAGGGGTGTTTAATCATCATAAACGATATTCAATATTTCATCGATTCACTTGTTCTATTTAAGCCACTTTTCTCAAACAAAAATTTATTTGATACCAAAAAAAGTCCAGCTGTCCATTTTTATTTTATTTAAGATAGATCAGCCTGTAAAGCCGCAAAATGGTATGCCACGGGCCCGAGGTTCAAATCCAAGTTTTGATGAACATTTTTCTCACCCTTTTACATATAATTACAATATAACTTTATAATTTTTTGTAGCTGTTTACATAAATGCCGCACAGTCCGTACAGGATGAAGACGGCAATCTGACCATAGATCACACGAAATATCCAGGCTCACTGGGCTTAACGTATGAGTTATGTGCTGGTATAGTGGACAAGAAGAAGACAGTGGCCGAGATTGCACAAGAAGAGGTTTTTGAGGAATGTGGTTACAAAGTACAAACAGAAAATCTGCAGAGGATCACGGGATACAGGTTATTTTATTTATAAACTTTTACTGTAAGACCTATACTTGTATTGTGTTCATCTCTTGTTATTTGTAGAAATTTATATCTATGAATTGGTTTAAGGGTTATTTAAAATATATTTTTGTGATTTCCACAAACCTGTGCTTTATTTATATAGTGTGTTCAGAATAAAGATGGGTTGATATGTGTTATATATGTTATTCTTTAGTTAAACAAGAACCTAGCTAGAAAATTATATTGTTTTATCGATCGATGACTCCTCCTGTATGTCCAGATGGATAGCAGATATTTATACAAACATATCTCCCTATCATATCTTCCTATCATTATATTTTTTACTATTTTACTTCCCAACTCAGGCTCCTATGGACTCGGCCCGGTGAATTTTCGTATTCGTTGTTCTATAGTAAATAAGTCACATTTGAGGCTTAATTATGGATTCCACCACTGTTCTTGATGTATTATATACTGTCTTCAACTTTAAACATTAACACTATCTCAGTCCAATGAGGCCCGAAATATAATAGGTTAGCCATCTACTTTTTTTCAGAAATCTTCATTCTGTTGTAACACTGTTTACATTCACCACTTTAAAAACTTCAATCCTTCCGCCAACAAATGAGTTCCTGGAGAATACACAAAAAACAACTTTTAAAGTCATCATATAACATACAATAACTACACACATGCAATAAATACACTTTAATTATGACCAGTCTAAATAGAGATGACTTAAATTGGGCCACTTCAAAATTTTAAAGAACTACTTTCTAGACTACAACGGGTTGGGTCTAATTCGTACCGGGTTGAGACCTTATTGTGCATGAAATAATGCACGGAAGGGCACCTGAGGCCTTCCTCCACCAGTAAAGCTGAAAAATATTATCAAAAATATTGAACAATAATTATACTTGTCTTGTATTGATTGACTTTTGTATTCTTTGTCATTATTTTCTGGTGTCATTATATGAACACAAGGTTTTTTATAAATTATTTATATTTAAGACAAAAAAAATAATACTTGGAGCAGAAACTATTCTTAATTTTTTTTTTTCAAATTAACCGTTAGTCTGTTAGCGGCGACTGATTCTGTCCAACTGATTCTGTCCATGCAACTATTTAAAATTAACGTCAGCCGGGACATCCGTGCCGACAGATCACGGTCTGCACTGTTTGCTATTCAGTCTATATATACTTTGAAAATTTTCTGTATAAATTATGAATAAATTTGTCCAGATTGACTAAAAAAAGACAAGTAAATTTAAGATAATGTAATATTGTGTTCTTTCCTAAAATATTATGAATACGATCATTATGTCTGCATTTATCGTAACACCCACTCGTTTGTCTGGCACGCATTTACGCTCAAGATTGTCTAGTATGTAGTAGTTGTTATAAGGAAGACAAAGCACACTGTGCTGTTCTAAATTATATACCATGAGAAACTCGCGAAATGTTTTCACAAGAGTCACATTCCTTTACCAAACAATAAACGAAGAAATGACACATCAACCATTCCTGTCAAAAATGGCATATGTAATAGATCTAATATCAGTTTAATATCAGTTTAACCTGATATATTCTACCTTGACCTTTGTTTATTAGTATTATTCCATGAATGTTCTTATTTATTTAGTTTAGTGAATGACAGAACTACATAATATTACAATACATTTGTTGTATGCATGTATATGCGTACACAAAACAAAAAAATTACTGCATATCAACCATTGGCAAAGAAATATCATATCAACCATTGGCAACCATTGGCAAAGAAATATCATATCAACCATTGGCAAAGAAATAACAAATCATTTATTTATTTATTTATTTATTTATTTATTTATTTAAAGGAATGGTGTTGGAACATCGGCAGCATATCAAGACATGTTTTATGTTGAAGTAACAGACGACATGAAAGTGTCGGCAGGGGGAGGTAACCAACATGAGGGGGAACTAATAGAAATAGTTGAAATACCACTGTCAGAAAGTAGGACTTTTATGATGGACGAGTCAAAAACAAAACATGTGGCAGTTATGTTTGCATTAATGTGGTTTTATGAAAATAAACAATCAAAGAAACAATAGCATTTGACAATTATCGGTTCTATTAATAAGAAGTTCAAATGTGATTTCAATATTGTATATAAGTATATTTAACATCGTTTATATGTGAGGATCAGTCAAATAAGTTATAGGCGTTGTGAATGGTATATCGTTGCCATAGCAATTTAACTTGATATGATTATCTCCCTTTCTTCTTAATGATAGCAAGTGCAAAATAATGTGAAGAAATTTATATTTTATATTTTTCACTTTTCTATAAACATGGCTATTCTTCCTATATCGTATACATTTTTGATAAGATTTTTTTACATGATATTTTGAATGTCTCGAAATCATAAACCTTATTTTGTGAAACTAAAAGTCATCGTATTATAAAAACCACATTTATGCCATAAAAACAAACTTATAAAACATCTTTGAACTGGGAGAAACCAAAGAATAAATCTTTTTTTGCATGGGACACAGATGCAAACATTTATCGAGGTTTGTTTAAAAACTCCTGTTGCTGAATATTTTAGATCTCTTAGAATCAGTTGTAGAGTTTATTGACAATTTAAGATTCACATAATCTTAGTGCTGTAAAACCATCATAAAAAACAAGGTCTACGGACGACATTATTTTAGCACTACTTATAAATTCGTTTTTGTTCAGTCGTAAGATTATAGCTGCACGCCTCCAGATGAGCCAAAATATTTCAAGAAATTCAATCAGTAGAAAAATTTATGAAGATCTTAAGAAAAGTAAAAATATTCAATATTTAATAATTGCTTACATGTGCGATTAATGACTGATTTTGCATCATCAATCACTATAATTCTACTGTGTTACTAACGCAGTAAGAGGTATTTATGTATATTTTGATAGGTTTGGTAATTTACGTGGATTGTAAGTGCCGTTTGCAATGTGTAAATTACTCTTTTTGTTCACTTCACAATATTTTACTTTTAAATACATGTTCAAAATTTTCATAAAAATTAGCATGAATCTGGAGGCATGCTGCTTTAAAATATCAACATTTGTCAATCACTATGTTGTCTTTAGGTTGGCCAAATGTTGTCTTGTCCGAACATCAGGTGTGTTTATTCTCCAGACTTGAGGTTAAGTTGGTTTCAGATAAACACCATGTTAACACTGCCTTGACTTCTAAGCTAAGAACGCTGCATATTTCTGCCATGTGTTCTTGAAGATTTTTTTTTTCGAAATATGTAAATAAATAACAATCATAATTATATACATTTATTGATTATTCATATGTTTTACATATGATATACTTTGATAATGGGAAGTAATAAACTTTTGAAGTTGTTTTGTAAAAACAAATTTATTTTTTATCAACTTAATAAAGATTTATTTGAGAAAAAAAACATTCCTTTTATGTTGTAGTATCATAGTTTTGCAAGCAACAATCTTACAGCATATTTTAAAGATATATTTACAATACAATAGATGGTCTCCTTCAAGAAATTTGCCTTAAAGTACTTTGACTCTTGCGGTGTTTGACCCAAGTCTACTAGCGACAGTAGGTTCAACATGTATTAAGAGCGCAGACTAAGATCTATGGTGGCCGTTTTATGCCATGTTCCGCCGACAAATGGATGACTGTCGTATTACCTCGTTTTCACCTTGCGCCCATGGGAGCGAAAATACGTCAAGGAAGTCTTCTCCATGGCTGGCACAGATCGGCCACCATAAAAATCAGTGTTGATTTCCTTGTCGTCTGATTATGTTCTGCACTGTTAACTATTCAGTCAGTATAATTATATTAATATTTTTTCCTTAAAAATGATGTATAGTTATGTCAAGATTAAAATATAATGGATTTCAATATAAAAATGCTCAGCAGTCAAGATTTTAGAAATTTGCAAAACTGTAAATACAACACTGTAAGGTTAATGAACATGTGTCCCTTCTCATTTACTTTTCATTCAAAGGTTTGTTTACTTACTTCTTGTCAAACAAAAGTGTTCAGTTGTGTTACTTCTGTGAAGAAGGTATATTATGTAATTGAAAGAGCAGCGAAACACGAGGCTATCTGATTTCTAGGAGGGTGCGTAGCCCCCCCCCCCCCGTATAAATCAGACTGCCTAGTATTTTGATGTTCTTTCTATTTGTATCATAGTCAAACATTGTATCATAGTCAAACATAAAAACACGTTCCCTTTTGTCAAAATATGAAACCCCAGGAAAAAGTTACCAATGAACGAGCATCAGTATATGATATTTCTATCGCTTTCCCATTCTCTGCCGTCACAATAAGTAAACCCTAGCAAAAATTAACCAATCAATGGGCATGCTCTGGAGTGCGGGTTACTAAAACCTGCACTCCAGTTAACGCTTAGTGCATGCATGTATACGATTTAACTCTGACACATTGTCAACAGAAAGGTCCCCAAACTATGATACAATTAACACATGCAACTATAATTCATTTATACCTATATGTCAAAGTAAGATACACGTTACAGGAAATATAATATTCAGTAAGATATTATTATATATGTTCAGATGTTCATATTTGTTCATTTAACTTTTCTCTTACATTGAAATTATAGACGTGCTACATGATAGTTTTAACGTAAATAACGCTATGTTTACTTTGAAAACTTGATCGCCACCGATCCCACATCATCTGTGTCTTCAAATTCATCACTCCATCGAGCTACTTTGAAAAAAATACGCAGTAGGTAATTAAGTTAAATAATTAAATTAAGGGCGTTTGCTAGGGAAAGGTAACTGTTTCAGACTACATAAGTCTTAAAAATCTTGTTTTAAATTTTGGTTTATTTTCGGTCAGTTCACAAAAATTTCAAGTATATCCATAAAACACTTACTTTTGCTAGTACTTAGAAGGATTGATTGAATCGGCATAGGTTTAGGAAAAAAATATGCTTGAAAAAAGGTCAAATTCAAGGGGGATAACTCAACAATATATCATTTTCTATGATAATGTAATTATGTAAAATTTAAATACATTGTAAACAGTTTTCATTCTTCCTTAAGACTGTAAAGTGTCTTTATTGGGACACGTTTTGGCCATATTAGTACCTGTTCTTTTCAAGAATCTGCTGTTTAAATTGTAATTTGAAATATTTTGCAAGGCATATTTATACAAAATTGTCATCAATTTTTGTTGTTGTTGTTGTTAATACCAAAAGCCATTTCAGTCCATTTGTGATTATCTGATATTAATAATCTTTTGCATTTTGTAAGTATTACAAGTTATTAACAATATTTGATTTACAATGTAAGAAGTTCTAAGTTTTGTTCCGATTGTGCTTATAAAAGTTCCATTTGTGACCCTAAAAGACATATGAATAATGCATGAACATTTAACTAACTTTTGCCAAAGGAGCTCCATTGAGGTAAAAAAAAAAGCCTTAAAAGCATACAATTGAATTTTTTTACGTAAATCGAGTGAAGCACATAAAAGGAAAATTCTGCAAAAAATAATTAAGAATTAATTTGAAATTCGATTTTTTTGTGCCATTTAAGCATGATCTGAGCGAAAAACGTTGCAACGGTTTTCATTTAGGTGCCATTTTGCATAATTAGGATAATTATTTTTGAAAAATGGGGAAAGAGAAGGATCACAACTTATTGGTTCTGACCTACATGAAATGGTACACATGTCTCGGAAAAAATATTTCCATTCCGTCATGTCAACAAATCTCAGTGGAGTTCCTTTAACAGAATATATTTTGTATTTATAATGATATTGTTCAGATTTGCAGGTAAATTGTTATAAAACAAAAATGGGCATGTTTGTTTTATGAAATGAAGAAAAAAAATTATCATAAATGTGGCCTAGTTATTTAAGTATCTTCCTCAAAGTCCAGGAGTCATAGGTATGTACCCTACTGGAGTCATAACCATGTTTCTTCATTATGCCGATAATGTGAAGTATAAATCTTGTTGTTGGATCCATGTTTACTTTAACTCTTAACTTTTTCAAAGACCTATATTTAGATAGAGAGGAAGAAGATGTAAATTATTCTCGCTAATGGATGAAAATGTAAACGCATTCGGTTGCGTAAACCAAAATGGCGGAAGTTGATCATGATCAACTTCAAGTGCCAATGAATCTCTCGCAATTGTGGGTCTTGACTGGAAAATTGTCAATTTCCAGAGCTTCCTATCCCTCTGTTATCTTAGTGTCTAACCTGCTGGAAGCGTAACTGATTAGCCTTTGCCATTAGTACACCGTACAATCAATTGGGCAGACAGCAGTTCAAACGTCGACAGCTGTACCAGTATATACACGTCGGCGCACGAAACACAATTGACGGACGGTAAGTATTCATCTATTTTTAACATATCCCAACTGTGATCGAGTAAATCAATGTCAACATCCAAAGGAGCATACTAACAAATTTCTGGCCCTGTGCAAGCTTTACTTCGCGTGAATTTTGACTGAAATAACCTAGCTATCCGATGAGATGCGACATTTTTATTTTTAAGTCATAAAAACTTCCTGGTACAGCTGTACGTTGTGATTAGTATAGAACCAGGCTGGCGTATGTAAATACACTTCAGCCAGGCTCTATACTGTTGGCTGCTAAGTTTTGGTATTTTGATATATAAACCCTTTCAACTTTTAATGGATCGTTCCAAACCTGGGAAAATCTATTAGACAAATTGATCAGTTTTAGCGTTAATTAAGTAAGAAACAGTTGATATAGTTTTGAGCCAAATACACTAAATACAGCAATACATTGGTATAGAAACATACCACTTATTGAATAATACAATCCATTATATCATATTGAAACATTTATTTCCTTTGTAACTTTAAACTTTATTTATTCACTATATTTTACACGTTAGTATTTACAAAGTACAATAAAAACGTGTCATGGTTGCAGTGAAATCGGTTATAGAACTAAAATCTGATTTCGCGCGACATTACAGTGTAGTAATTTGGTACAAAATATAAATTTATTCTGATTAAATAATACAAATAATTTGCGTTGCTTAATGCATCCAATATACCAATACAACTTGATGCGTAGCCAGCCATCCAATTCTGTCTAGTTGTTTATCACCATCAGCAGTAGGGCTTGTACCGTTTGTCAGTGTTGCAACACTAAGCTTCCTACAAAATTTACGATGAAAGATTTTTTTAAGATTAATGTTCCATTTGATATAGGTCAACACACCAATAACTTTTATGTAAAATTTCAGATAATTCGCTCATTCCCTTTTTCCAGAATATTTTTCTTATTGTGACAAATTACCAAAATTGATAAGCGTTGCAACGCATTTCACTCAAATCGGGTTAAGAATAACACGAAAATACGATTGAATATATTTCTTAATCATCTTTTTCATATCTTTGTTTCTTAAGTGTCCAATTTAATATATTTAGGAAATAATAATATTTTGATTTTTTTTCTCAGGCTTTTGGACCTCAGTGAAGTAATCTAAACATATAATTTTCAACAGATGACAATAAACCGTTGAAACGGTTTACTTAATCGTTGACGTATATCAATTGTCTTTTCAGATTTTGCAATTTAGATCTTGAGTAATCACTGAAAAATATAACCATTTCTCAACTCATTTTCCATCCAAACTTTTAGGAAATCTGCTTACTCCTTGTGATTTCCAATGCATTTATACTGAATTCAAATACGTACATGTTCTTACATTGGTTAATTTTTGAAACAGAATATTAAATAATTTCTTTGCAGATTACTTGTTTTTTTTATTATCATTATTCATAAAATGTCGAACTAGAGCTCATACAACAGGGTAAAAAAGCAGATCAACCTGAAGATTTGTGTGAATATACTTTCTTATCGTCCCGAAGAGAGTCTCGCCGCAATAAAATACCGAATTCTGATTGGCAGGCATTTAGGTATCGGGTTTCTTTTCAGCGGAGGTATCATATAAATCAAGATTTCAAATGAAAAATTAGTCAGATTATCGTCATAAAGATTAACATTTGTTAATCCTGTATTTTGATA